CATTAACTACCAATAACTAAGAACAGATGATCAATAACAACCACTATCAGTATTCTAACAGGCCATTGCCGACACTGTTCCATGTACGTTAGCTCCCTGTTCCAGGTGGCGCTGTGGGTGCAGTGAGGGCTGGGTGCCGGTACCTCTGCAGCTTCATAATCCAGACCGTGCTGCTTCTCAAACAGCATGGCCTGGAAGTCCTCCAGACTGCAATCTATGCTGTCCAGATAGTCCATGAGCTCCACCCTGGTGAGACACACAGAAATAAAGCTCCGTCAAGCAAGTTCAGGCATCCCATGAATGGGGATCTCTACTTAGAGGACAGCATTGGAGGAGAGAACCCTGGTGGCTCCTGCTTCTCCAGGAGCATCCATCCAGTATTATAAGCCCAAAGGTTTTCCTCACAGATATGAGAGGTTATCCTCGGTATAGCAGGTTTCCTCTGCTGTATAGGAGCTGAGGATTATGGGTAATTACCAACTTCTGGAAATGTTGGCTGTGTTCGAACGTCCACCCTAATCACTAAATAGGGCACTATATGGTGATTACTCCATTTTAGATGAGTGTCTGAATGGATGACAGAGTAGTGGAGTGGAAATTTCCCACAATGCACCTTGAAAAGTAGTAATCATCAACAGTCACTAGATAAGCAGATATTTCCCAGAATGCTTTGTGAGCAGGCTCTTCTCCCAAATGGAGCTAACTTTTCAGCTTTGGATTTAAACCCAAACCTAGTCTTTTTTGAGTTTTATTTTTCCTTTCATGTTAACATAATGGTATATAGTGCTTCATCTAAAAGAAAGAAATAACTAAAATGCAGATAAACATGGTTTAATCATAGTTTTCCAGAGAGGAGGGATGGCCTAGTGCAGAGGTGTAACACTGAAAGGGCCGTGAAAGGGCCTGTGGCTGCAGGTTTCTTTCCAACCAAGCAATAGCTCACCAGACTCCAGTCATCTAATCAAGTTGTTTGTTGTTTGTTAATTATTTTTGACACTCTCAAATGAAAGTTTTTTTTTCAATTTTTGAACACCTTTTGTCCTTATTTATGGACTGCTGTTCTGAAGAACCTGCTCTGCATTTAAAAGGGTTGTTCCATTATTCTACGTATCTACTGATGCTCCCCTCCCCCAAACACCTCTATCACATCCAGCTATCTGCTTCTTTGTCGATGAAGAGAGGTTCTGTTCAATAACTAACTGTTCAGGTTGACTCTTACTTGCCAAGCAGGCTGATGTTTTGTGAAATTGCTCCATTCTCATTCATCATGGAGTCCATCATCTTCACTGGATCCTCAGCCCTCAGAGCAGAGGGAGCATTCAGCTGAAGAGCACTGCTGCTTCTCTGCTTCACAGCTGCTGCTCCACCCTCTACCTGCTGGACGTCCTCCTTGCAGGTAGAGCTGACCTCCATCTGTGCTGGTAGATCTCCAGAGCTGTTCATTTCTACCTCCACTATTTCTATATCACTAAAAAAAGACACAAAACAAAGCTAACAGTAAGTTCACTGATTCCAGTGAAAAGTATTTAGACCTTTTAATTGTTTTTTAATCTGTTCTTTGCTGCCTTTTGCTAAAATCAATAAAGTTCATTTTATTTCTCATTAACATACACTCCACATCCCATCTTGACAGAAAAAAATCCCAGAAAATTAGAAACTTTTGCAAATATATAAAAAATAAAAACAGGAATATCAAATGGTCATAACTAGTGTGGCACCGATAGCGATACCAGTACAGGGCGGGGCCCCGATTCAGCACTAAAATGGTGGTATCGGTATCGGCCAGTACCAACAAATAGGGCAGCAATACCATTTTGAGACCCTTTGTTACCCTGTGATGGACTGTCAACAATACCCCCCCTCTTAAAGTCTCCTCCTGCAACTACGAACAGCTCCAAAGCAGAGCGTGTTAGAGCAGCTCACCTGTCCTGAGAAGATTCCATCTCTGAGCTCGCGTCTTCATCGTTTTTAGTCAGGTCGTAGACAGTCACATCATCATCAGAGCGCTTCACCTGGTGCAGACTGCTGACAGACGTCTAAACGGAGCAAAGAAACAGGACAATGGAACCAGAAGCAACTTTTCTACACCATAGAAGAAGATCTCATGGCGGCTCCTAATAGAGCTGACGCCAATGTTCTGTATGCACCTCAGAAAAACCTCAGAACCAAACAGAACCGAACCGTTGCTGAAGCTTTGGGGCTCGAGCTGAAACTATTAATTAGATTAATCAGGATTAATCGATAATTAAAATAATCTTCAATTAATTCAGTAATGGATTAGTTAGTTGGAGTATAGAGACGCTAAACCTGCCTTTAGCTGTCAGAGGGACCCATCTTGAGAATCAACTACACAACGATTGTTAAAAAAATAAGTAAACAATTTGCATTTAGGATAAAAATAAAAAAACTGGTGTTCAGGTGCGGCAGACCGGGGTTCGAATCCAGCCTGTGGCCCTTTGCCGCACGTCTCTCCTTCCCTGTCAGCCTGCTGTCGAAAAAACAAACCACTAGTGCCGCTAAAAAAAACAAAACAAAAAAAAGATAAAAAAAACTTTTCCGTCTGTCAATAAGCTCTATCCAGAACAAGTTTTAGTTTCATATGGTTAAATTTTGTACAAAATCTTCTTTAAGGAATCTTTGGCTATCCAATTATTAATTAAGTGAAAAAATAATAAACAGATTGATCAAATAGAAAAATAATGGTTAATTTCAGAGGAGAGGAGAGACGAACACAGTCACATTATCACGCCACTAGCAGGACCATCCCCAGTCGTCATAATAACAAGCTGTTAAACCTTAACGGCCATTAGTGTCGTCATTCTTCAGGTTCTCTGTTAACTGCGTAACCCAGTCCACTCAACACGGCAGAAAACCCCCCTGGCAAGAAACAATATGAAAACGCACAGCAATTAAGCTGCTCGTTATGGGGCCAAAATGGTAGCTTTAATATTTGCAAATGTGTGTGGAGAGTTGTGTGTCTGTATCTCGATTTGTG